GTAGTGTGGTATTTTAACTGAGATTTAAAAGCCAAAAGCTTTCAAATGATCTTATTACGTGATAATCTCTCCGTTCATGATCAAGGAGAAAAGTTTCAATCACCATTTCCACTGTAGTTTGGAAATGTATTTGGTTTAATCTTCAGAAAACAAGTTAAAACAGCCTTTGGGTGTTTTCCCATTTTTCTCAGGAATCAAAATTTCCAGAAGGAAATATTTGAAAGGTGTCTTTATTAGTGTTTCAAACCTTGGAGGAACTTACTTTTGTGCTCAAATATATTAAGTATGTGTAACAACCTATTAAACATACTCATCCTGATTTCAAATATGGGCACAGATAGATTGGAAATGTTTATACACATATAGAGCTATAAAAATGAAATTGAAACAATCCATTAACTGCTAATGATAACCAGACATGTAGTGCTAGCACACAGCCTTTTCTGCATTCAAAAAGCAAAAACAAAATCCTTATCCCAGTTTAAACAGAAACCTTATGTTACATTTACTCTTCAGCATCTCAATTACAACCTGAGGAGAATTTGCCAGCAAACACCCAGTGCTCAGGAGGCTGGTGGGAATCTTTTCCTTGGCTACACTGAAGCTGATTCTCCCTTGAACTACAAAAACCAGGACTGACTTGGGCAAATAACAGGTATCTTTGTGTAAGGCCAAAGTGGCCTCAGGGACCAGAACAAACATATCCCTTAACACCACACCAAGTTACTTCACACAGACAAATTCACTGAGGCAACAATTACTGCAAATAATATCACATACACAGCTGTATATACATTTATCCTTTTGACAAAACCAGAATGTTATAGCATTCCATTTGACATTTCTGATAGATTTCCAGAGAGATTTGACAAATTTCTTTTTCCTCTTGAGCTGCTAAACAGATTCACTGAAGTAGATGGCATCAGAAAGTAATGCCCCATCCAGCCCTGAAGATAAAAGGGGTTTTGCAGGAGTAACTTAACAGGAATATTCTCCTCTCTCCATGTTCAGCAGCAGACAGTGCACACCAGGTTGCCAATTTTTGGTGCTGTAAGTAGTGTGCTTTTACAGGCTGTGAAAAAAAACCCCGTGTGTTTGCTTTTTGTATGAGAAAGTACAAAGTTCTTACCTGCTGGTGAAATGTTACAGGCACCCCATGTAGATCATTAAGCATGAGAATTCATGGTACTCACAAACTATCACCATTCCTAGAGCCCAGCTATTTGGTAGAAGGTTATGAAGGAAGAAAAGTGTTAGAAATCAAAGTTCAGAGAAGACCTTCATGTTTAACCCAAGTCAGTGAGCAAACCTCCAGCCAAACTCACTGCCCACAGCTGGGACACTCCATGACAGGGAATATGGCAGAGCTGCTGCTTTGTCAAACTGCACTTTAAACAGCCTGGCACTGTCTTCTCCTCTTGCCTGAGAGGAGCAGAAGTGAGAGGATGATATAGGGAGAGAATACAGACAAAAGCAGCAGAGAGAAGGAAGCTTTTATCACCAGTTGGATGTGTGCCACAGAGACCAATTATATACATTTGACAGCAACCATTATAATTCCAGAGTCCTTGAACAAATCACAAGCAGAAAGGTTACCTTCCTTGAAAATGTTCATTGCCATTAAATAACTGACCCAGACTAGAGGGTGAAGGCAGCACTTAAGAGAGATTTTGGGGGAAGGGAGGAAGTGGAGAATCGTATTACATGTACACCTGAGAAAACCCCATCGTTTGTTCTGAAAGAGGAATTGCAGATTCACTGCAGATACTGGATTTGCAGCAGAGCAGACAGTGTTCTGCAAATGCAAATCCTACAGACAGCAGGGACAAAACAGGCAAGAGAAAGAATTTCTCTCTGATACCAGTGTCAACACTTGACTAAATTTGGTGACGTTTATGGTTTCGCCCTCCAGTTTAAAAATCACAAGGCCTGGTCCTATATTCCTTGTGCTTTTAAGTTTAGACTGCTATGGAGGCTACTGACAAAGAAAGCTGCCATAAGTCAAATTCCACAGTTACACATGTAATGACCACATCTAAGTGAAGGATTTATATTTCATGAAACATGTATTTCAATATCAAAGAGAATTGAGGCATCTGCTAACAAGTGGGTACCTTGTTCTCTCTCAATAATAGAGGAATAATACTGGGAGATCTCAGGATCTCTATGAATTTCATCCTCTGTGAGCAATCATTCCATATACCTGATGAAAAGTTTCACCAAGGAACAGCAGATAAACCGAGGTGGTTTGGTACATGGCATTCAGATTTCTTCAGCACATCCCAGTTATTTGGGATATATCCTTCCAGAGAAGGTTCAAATTGCCTTTCATTTTAACAGACACATGCAGTCAGATGGTTCTCTCTTTTCACACATGTTGAAAGATTATTGTTCTCTTAATTCAGAGTAAAATCTAATTGGAAATCATTATTTGCAAAAGAGCAGGGAGTCAAACATGATTCTGAATTTCTGTTCTGAGGTTGGCTCTTTCAATACAGGATTTGCTGGGTAGGATAGAAAGTTCCCAGGCTCTTTCCAGCTGAAATTTCTCCTCTGCCAGACACATGATTCAAGAAACTAGACATACACACACACAAAAAAATAAAATTTCTGGCTCCAGATCCTCTTGCAAATGTCACAACCCAACTTGGACAATGCCTATTTTTAACACAACATACAGCAAACTATCATGATAAAAAAAAAAAGGAGGAAGAGAGAGAAGAGATGTTGGCTCAGTCAATTTATTTCTGGGAGACATCAAGCCTTTACAAAAAGAGCCAGTAATGAGGGCACAAAATGCTGAAGAAAAGAAAAGCACAAAATCAACAAGTTTTGTAGAATGACTCAAAGGAACACAAGTGCTGTTCACAGCACAAGGTGACTTGTAACAAAGTAAGAAAGAGTCATGTTAGACCTCTATGTATAAAATGAGCTCTTATTTTATTGTTCTAGACTTGCGGACTTTTTGCAAGATCCGAAAGGCAAAGATATTTTAATGTACCCATTTCTGTATTCAGAAGAGAATGCTCACAGCTCAAAGGCCACAGTTTTCAGCTCTGAATCAGAAAGGATATATTATAATTGCAAACATAAAATTTAAGCTCCTTTCACTCATAAGGAGAGGGACAATTTGAGAGAGCAGGACAGATCGCTGAAGAGAATTCTCCCACATAATAATTCTCTTATTAATTCAGCTGAGTTTAATAAGTGATCCTTCCTCAGTTCCCAAAAACCTGCACTGGAACATCCACAGAAATAAATCTTCGGTCTCAATGGTCCTGCTTAAGAAGGTGAGGCTAAAATGCTTCATCAAAGAAATGTACTTATTTGTCACATCTGATTCAAAGTTTACAAAATTCAGCAAGGAATAATACCTGCTATTGTCCTTGGATGCAGTTTTCAGCCATGCCTGATCTTGGTGACTCACCAATATATCTGGTATAAAAGAAATGAACTGTTTCCAGATCCTAGGAGCAAAGTTACTCCTACCACAGCATTAAAGTTGAGAACCTCTACCTCTGAGACTTGGAATCCCACAAGGATTCCACAAGGAATCAACAGGACAAAAACTCTGCCAAATGTCAGACCAGAAGTTCTGCTGTGGGGCAGGAAGTCAAAAAGTCTATTAAGTTTAGTAAAAAGGCTTATCAATCACTAGAACTGGGTTTTTTACAGCTTTCCAAAGACAATTTGCATTGTGCTCTCCCATTTTTTCATCTACTTTCAATCCCATTGCTAAGCTCTTCCTCTGCTGCAGGTTGCATAGTCTGCAGAGGAAAGGGGAGCTGGGAGACTGCAATAGTTCCTCCAGTTTATCTGCAAGGACACAGTGGGCATGGTAAGGCAGCAGAAAGTAAGCCCATATGCATCAGTAGTTCCTCCTAATTTGAATGCAACATCAAGATAAAAACAGGTAGAGAAACCTGATGGAGAGTTGTAGTGAGGAGATAGGAAGCAGTGGGATAGTAGAAAGAGAAGGGATAGAATACACAAAGTCAGGGCATGCTGTGTTTGGGAGTGGAGAGGAAGCAGAGGGGTGTTATAGGTGTTAGAGAGGTGTAGTTTTGAGACAGAAACAGAGACACAGGATGACAGTGGTTATTTGCTGTGAATGACTAAATGTGAGTCTGAGAAGTGGAAGGAAGCCTAGAAGTCCTGTATTTTGGGATGCACCCCCCAAACCTGCAAATCCTGCACATGTACATGACAGACAGGACAGAGATGTGTGTGCAAGGACAACCCAGTGGAAAGACAACACCACTGTGTGTGCAAAATACACAATGTGCATGAGAGAGGATGGAGCGGGAAGTAGGAGTGTGTGTGCGAAGCTAGAGGAGCACTGGGAGAGGGGAACACCAGAACAAGAAGGAACTGACAGAGGGGAAGGAGACAAAGATTAAGAACTTGGAGGAGGATGTACAGTCTTGCACAGGCATGAAAGAGAAGGCAGAGGGAAAGGAAAGGAACCAACAAGGGAAATGTTTGTCACACAGAAAACACACTTGATGAAAAACAGGCATAAGAAGATGGTGAAAAAGATAATAAGAGATACATAGGATTGAGAAGAGAATAAAGGAAGTGTGAAGAACAGATTAAAAGAGGAAAAAAAAGAACAAGAAAGATTAGTTGGCAGAAATCACAAATCTCAGTGAAGAGATTTAAAGAAAAGTCTAAGGCACAACACACTATGGGCAGAACCAGAAATTCCTTGCAGACCAGTCCTTTCATCTGTCCTCTCCAGACCTCCATGTCAACTCTCCTTCCCAGTGGACTCCTCCTTTAAGAACACGTTTGCACCTCCAGCCTGTTTGCCTCCCTGAACCCGGGGCTCCAAGGATCGTCGCTGTCGGGGGCACAGAAGATGCAAACACAGCCACTTCCAAAGAAACACCGTCTTGAAAATCAACTCAGAAACAACAAAAGGTGGAACTTGCAGTGGTCAGAGCCAAGTTCTGTGCTGGTCAGGGAGGTGGAGCTGCTCTGACAGCTGCTTTCCTTACCTTGGGTGCTCATGAGTGACCGGGCTGTCTCGCTGCAGCTGCTGCAGGTTGAAACTCTCTACGTCGCCTCCATGCAATTGTATTTCCAAGAGTCTTGGAGAGGTTATTTGTGCTCTGCAGCGGTTGAAAAGTAAAGGAAACACAAGGAGCAAAGCAACCCCTGGCCCCTTAAGGACAAAAGTTTCAGGAGAATCTGGTGCACCGGTGTCAGAACGAGCAAAGAGCCACACAGAAAGTAAGAAAAAGTGTGTCAGAGACTGGGAGGGGCAGAGAAGGAAAATGCAAAGATCTGACAGGAAACCAGACTATAAATCTGCTTAGGGTTTGAAAAAAACACATTTCTGCTCCCCAGCGATAGAGCCTGTTTGCAAATGACTCTGCACACAGGTGACAGCAGAGCCCCAAGCACCCTGCAAGCAAATGAAGGGGCACCTTTGCCCCTTCCCCGGGAAGAGCAGTGGGCAGAGGAGGCGGCAGCACAAAGCCTGGCTCAGACAGGGAAAGCAGCCTGGCTCCACTGCCTCGCTTCCAGCTCTCCAGAATTCCATGTTCCCTCAGCCAAAAGGGGACATGCTGAATGCCAGCCTTGCTGCTGCTCTGCCTCTCCCACCACGGAGCGTCTCAGGGCACACGCTGGTGCAAAGCAGGAGGGAAAGGAAAAAGAAAGAAAGAACTGACGAAAACAGTTTCAAGAACAACAGTTCCAGGCAGAAGGAGTTCTGGGTTTTCCCGAGGTTTCAAAGTTTTTTCAAGAAACCATCCATTTTATTAGTAGGTGCTTCTGCTAGAAAGGTAGTCAACAGGGTTTACTTCATGCATTAGATTATTTTGCAGTTGAATGATAATTTAAACAACGCATTTTCCAAAGGAAGTTTTGCTGACACAAAGAAGCCACAGTATCTTGTATTGCTTCAGTGCTGGACTACAGGTTTAAGGCCAACATGCAAACCCCCCTGTTGGTGGGTCTCACTGAGGACATTCACCTCTAGGCTGCAACCAGGAGCCTCCCACCACAGGCAAACCAACCGGAGCCAGTCCCTGCCCTCACTGTGGGATGAGGAGTCACCATCACTTCTAGAAACATCCTTCAGTGCTGCTGCCACCCCGCTCAGGGATCCTAAGCCTGAACACCTTGCATGATGTGCTGGTTCCTGTTCTGCTGCTGCCTATTTAATCCCAAGGGGGAAAACAAGGCACAGATGCCGTTGTGGTCCCGGTTGCTCCCGAGGCTTTACCTTTGCACTGGGCAGATGTGCACAGGTGAAGCCTCACTGGAGTCAGGAATAGTTTCTGGATGTGTGAGGATCAGAGAAAAGACCACTTGAAGGAAGAGTTATATGAGTGTAATAAGGATGTGTGTTTGTGAGGGTGATTGCAAAGCTCACCAGTCTGGAATACATTCTGCTCCCTGAATTTTTGCGAGGTTGTTTTTCTTTGAGGGTGACCAGAAGAAAGCAACTATGTATATATGGATGTGTCTTTATTTCCTGAGAGGAAATCACAGAAATAAAAGCAGAAACACGAGGGATAATAAGCATAAGCGACGTATGATAGATAACTTAGGAATGTGGGGGGTGGAAAAGCACGATGACAGTAATGGAGTAAGAGAATGAGAAAGGAAAAAATAGTTGGTAGAGAATAAAAGAAAACACAACAAACGGAAATAAGTGTAAAAAAACAGTGGAAAAACTATCAAAGGATACAGGGGCGTCAAAGACAACAGAATGGAGGAAGTGAGATGATAAAGTGAGAAGAGGAAATGTGAGGGAGAAAATACATGGCTCAAAGTGTTGTTACAATAACATGCAAAAGTGGTCTTAGCAAACTGAAAGCCTGAATCCTGCGAAAATCATGAGGGAGCAAAATGTGGAGAGCAGCTCTGCCTCAGTTCTCCCTGATTTTTTCTCTAGTTTCACATGTTTGTATCTGTACCTGCACTAGTGAGGGTGTAAGTTTATCTGTAAAGTTGACACGGAAAGGAATTCTGGAAGGAATTACAGTTCTCTAAACCAAGATTTCTCCAAGATTAAGGAATGCAGGAATTTCTGTCTCTGGCTGAACAATAGCAGAACACACTATGTCCCTATCAATTTTTTTCCAGTGAGGACTATACTGTTTTGGGCCACTGATATTCACGTGCAACTTTACCAAAATTCCCTGTTGAACAAACTTGGAGCTGCATGTGATAAGGTGCAGGAAATTCTCCTGCTTTGAGCAGCCCAAAAAAATCTATCCATGTGACAACAGCACAGGTGAGGTTCTGCAATTTCTGTCAGGGGGAAAATGATATTTTGGGGAAAAAACTGTGAAACAGAACTGTAAGAATCATGGACTACAATTATTCAGTCAAAGCCAATATATTACTTTTGAGTCAAGCTTTCTGCTGCTTTCACAGAGGAAGCTGATTCGTGCATGCAACAGAGGAACCATTTTAAGCACAACCAGAGAAACTCTGTGGCTGCACTTCGATTTAAAACCCACAGATCTTCCACACATGGTTCCCAACCTGAAAGGAAAAACATGCTAGAAATTCAAATCAAGACTCACCGAGTCTCATTACAGCTTTCTCCTTCTGTCCTTGGTTTCTTTGGCAAACAAGGTGTCAGACAGCACACTCCGAAACTGCCCTACGGAGCCGAGCAGGGGGTCAGGTATCATTTGTTCCTGTTTTTGCTTTTGGTTTTTGGGGTTTTTTTTTAATGTTGTGGAGCTCAAAAAGTACAACAACTGTTTTAAAGGAGATCCCACATTTCCCTGGGCCTAAAGTGGTGCCCTAGAGATGAAGCAATTATCCAGTGAAGCCTGAGCAGCTTTAAGGAATCTATCACCGAAACTCAAAGGACCTAAAATTCTCATAGTCATAAAGGCTTTACTGGCAAACTGAGATTAGCTGAGCAGGATCCAGCCATCAATCACAAAGCCACATGTAACTGAGCATCAACTTTTTCTTATAAGAATTTACAGTCTTAATCCCAGTTTTCGGTTATAAAAAACTCTCTCAAGCTATAAAAGTGTTATGGTGAGGTTACAGTTCCTCGAGGCTGGTGGACTGAAGTTATGTGTTTCACACAATGTAAGTGTAGACAATAATTATGGTCTGTTTGCCGACCAGGAAATACAAGAAAATTCAGGTGCACCACCTAAAATACAGTAAAAAGCTGCAGAGTTTGAATCGTGGGCTTTCCTGACCCAAATGTAGGGTCTAGGATCTTGACTAGTAGAGTTCTAAGCAGGAAAATTTCCTTTCTTTTTTGGTGAGAAAAAGGAATTACCTCAAAAAGATACCTGTCTGTCATCTGTTTCTTTTTTTTACAATAATAAAAAAAAAATCCACTGGAACTTTCTGTTTAACAAGCTGTCCAGTTAAGGGGTAACAATAAACAGTGCTTCCTTTTTTTTGTTATTTTTGTTGGTTATGGCTTCTCAAACTCCTTTTATTAAACTTGGTATAGGAAACAATAAATTTATTGTTTACGAAAATCACCTGGAAGGACACACCTGGTGTATTTGTTGTCTCCCTCTTTCCCAGAGACTTCAGAAAAGAAGGGCATATTTAGTTCCTTCCAATCACTCTGACTTTGCAGGATCTGAGCCCTAATGGTATAACCTGAATAACAAATGCACGTTAAGCCCTTTGGTGGTGCTGCACCTTCCCTTCCTCCAGGCTTTTACTTTGGGATCCTTGCATAAAAAAAAGCTAGCAAAATTTCTACATTATTCTATTATTCCATTAGGGTGATCAAACAGTGGAGAAGATTTGGAATCTCAGATACTCCTCCACATTGTTGCTGGCCTCCTAAGTATTTTGCTCACGGGGACGTTCATACCATGACATTTTTATTGGTATGAAATCTATGGAAAGTTTCTCTTTTTCTCATTCTTAAACTTCCTACAGTGGAAGGTTCTCCTTCTACACCATGACTTCCTACAGAAGGCCTTTTTACAGAGGTGATTCATCAGCTCAGGAGGGGCTGTAAGTCAGAACTGAAGCTGCCACAGAGCTTTAAATAGCTGCAGACCGAAGAGTTAAAAAAATTTCAGCACTTGGAAGTAAAGAAACACGAAACTATCCAGCTCTTAATCTGCTGCTCCTTTTCTTCTATCCCCTTCTTCTCCCCAGAGATCCATCCCAGCCCATGAGGAGACTGCCCTTGACTCCTTATCAGTGTAACAGTCCTGAAAATCCCTGGATACCAGAAACGCATTTCACAAACTAGTGATTTGAGAACTAATATATTGCATTTCTCCTGCATACCTGGGCACAGCAGCACCCTCTATATTGTTAACACAACCCTTCCAACTCTTTGGAGCAGAGAAAGAGAAGTATTAAATATTTTCCCCGTTTTACATATTTTATATTATCAGCCTTGCTCAACTATCCTCAGAGACTATCACTCTTACTTAAGGATGCTCACAATTTATCATTTTTTCTCTGGAGATCTGACTTCCAGAACAGAAGTATTTCCCTATTCAATTCACCAGCCTGTGGATAAGCAGCTGTTAGTGTTCATTTGCCTTTTCTAGGCATTAACATCAAAAATGCCCCTTGATCTTAAAAAGTGACACACGGTGGGATTTCTTTAACACCTTTGGGGGTAATGGCTTAAATCCAACAGGGAAATGTTCTTATCTGTAGGTTTATGATACACATTTAACAGTGTTTCAATTGCCTGAACTATGAAATAAGATGACAGGCAAACATATATCAGTGGGGAACAGACAGAATAAAATTCCCTCTTTCATTTGACAGTGGTAGGCGTTATGTATTTTTGCACTAAATGTACAATCTCTGTTGAGTTCAACAGTATAATGGGATTTATCTGAGTCAGATAGTAGCATATGCACCCATTATGGAAAATTTGGGTTCAAATCCAATCTGGGATCTGGGTTCCCAATCCATGGCACAGGGGGTAGTGCCTTGCCAAAAGACCAGCCCTCCACTGAAGCAAAGAACCCAGATCTGAGGTTTTAACAGGACAAGGTGGAATGGCTTTAGGCTGAAAGAGGGTAGATTTAGGTTGGATATTGGGAATTAATTTCTCCCAGTGAGGGTGGGGAGGCCCTGGCACAGGTTGCCCAGAGAAGCTGTGGCTGCCCCATCCCTGGAAGTGTCCAAGGTCAGG